GTGTGTGTGTATATATCTTTATATATTTGTATATCTATGTCTATCTATTTCTTTGCATGTTTATCCGTCTATCTATATATCGGCATGTTTATATATCTGTATATCTATCTGTATGTTTATTTATCTATCTATATCTGTATATATCTGTCTGTCTGTTTATCTATTTATCTACCCATCCATCCATCCATCCATCCATCCATCTATCTATCTATCTATCCATCTATCTATCTATCCATCTATCTATCTATCTACCTATCTATCTATTTATATATATAGCTATCTATATCTATCTATACGTACCTATCCATCTATCTATCAATCTATCTGGTTTTCTATGTGTGGTGTGTGTGTGTGTGTGTGTGTGCGTATAAATACTGACACAACTGATGGACGTTAATCTGCCTCCAGGATATTTTGTTGGTTTCGAATAACTGCCTTTAGTTAAGAGATCCGTCGTTTGGCAACATCATTTAGATAACTATTTTTTTCGTGATATTTATTTTCGTTTTGTTGTTTTTTATTGTTACCTTTTCTTCCTCTTCCTCTGTTTACTTTATGTTTACTCACTCTTCGTTCTTTGTCATCTATCGTTGCATTTCTCTCTCTCTCTCTCTCTTTGCATCTCTTTCAGTCTGTCTGTGTCTCTCTCTGTCTCTGTCTGTCTATCTATCTGTCTGTCTGCTTGTCTGTCTGTCTCTCTCTCTCTCTCTCTCCCTCTCCCTCTCTCTCTTACACTGTCTGCCTGTCTATCTGTCTCTCTTTCTGTTTCTTTGTCTATGTCTCCCCACCCTCTCTCTCTTTGTCAAAACGATACCGGTTTGTTTGCATCTCTCTTCCTTGTTGCCATAGCTACCACACACGGGTCTGAGACACAATAACATGCTCTGGTGTATCAATCGTACTACCAAAGAATGCAGATACGTTTTGTTATTCTCTATCTATATTTGGTACTTGTTCTTTTATACTGAAAGTACTGACGTCACAGATGCGTGCGTCGAAAATCTCCGTGGCTGCGCTTCCTGGATCGCCGCCGACGGACCATTAGATTGTGATAACATATAGAGACTGGTTTGTTAAAACTGCGATCCAATTAATATTCATATATACGAGCATACACATAGATAAACGAATTTATCTATCTACCTATCTGAGAGATATGCCTGCAGTTATAGATCGTATCTTTATCTGTGTGGATATGCATGTCTAAATGCAGTTCCTCATCACAGAATGAAAAGAAATATCGTCACCGTCACCGTGATTCGGCGAGAGTTCGTAGGTCTTTTCTGGATCTTTCTGGTCTCTCCTTTTCCGATACCTGAAGTTCTCAATTTCTTACTCTTGTACTCTTTGTATCCGTTGTTACCCAGTCGATTAACTACTATGTCGTCCTGCCTATACAAACTACCCACTACGATTTCATATTTTCAGTGCACAAAAAATACGTCACATCTAAGTTAGGTCCTATTCCATTTCTTACGTTAATTCTTGTTCCACTTCAAGTATTTGTTTATTTTTCCCAAAGAGATTTGGTTGTCTATTTTTCTGATACATATGTCATTTGTCGAAGCCTTTTTTCTTAAGACATAGACAGAAGGACCTTCAATCTAGCTTGATATGATATATTTCATTTTCACAGAATATTATCTTTTTGCACGAGTTGTTGTAGATTTATACTCCCCTTGGTCAATTCCTCTCTCTCTCTCTCTCTCTCTCTCTCTCTCTCTCTCTCTCTCTCTCTCTCTCTCTCTCTCTCTCTCTCTCTCTCTCTCTCTCTCTCTCTCTCTCTCTCTCTCTCTCTCTCTCTCTCTCTCTCTCTCTCTCTCTCTCTCTCTCTCTCTCTCTCTCTCTCTCTCTCTCTCTCTCTCTCTCTCTCTCTCTCTCTCTCTCTCTCTCTCTCTCTCTCTCTCTCTCTCTCTCTCTCTCTCTCTCTCTCTCTCTCTCTCTCTCTCTCTCTCTCTCTCTCTCTCTCTCTCTCTCTCTCTCTCTCTCTCTCTCTCTCTCTCTCTCTCTCTCTCTCTCTCTCTCTCTCTCTCTCTCTCTCTCTCTCTCTCTCTCTCTCTCTCTCTCTCTCTCTCTCTCTCTCTCTCTCTCTCTCTCTCTCTCTCTCTCTCTCTCTCTCTCTCTCTCTCTCTCTCTCTCTCTCTCTCTCTCTCTCTCTCTCTCTCTCTCTCTCTCTCTCTCTCTCTCTCTCTCTCTCTCTCTCTCTCTCTCTCTCTCTCTCTCTCTCTCTCTCTCTCTCTCTCTCTCTCTCTCTCTCTCTCTCTCTCTCTCTCTCTCTCTCTCTCTCTCTCTCTCTCTCTCTCTCTCTCTCTCTCTCTCTCTCTCTCTCTCTCTCTCTCTCTCTCTCTCTCTCTCTCTCTCTCTCTCTCTCTCTCTCTCTCTCTCTCTCTCTCTCTCTCTCTCTCTCTCTCTCTCTCTCTCTCTCTCTCTCTCTCTCTCTCTCTCTCTCTCTCTCTCTCTCTCTCTCTCTCTCTCTCTCTCTCTCTCTCTCTCTCTCTCTCTCTCTCTCTCTCTCTCTCTCTCTCTCTCTCTCTCTCTCTCTCTCTCTCTCTCTCTCTCTCTCTCTCTCTCTCTCTCTCTCTCTCTCTCTCTCTCTCTCTCTCTCTCTCTCTCTCTCTCTCTCTCTCTCTCTCTCTCTCTCTCTCTCTCTCTCTCTCTCTCTCTCTCTCTCTCTCTCTCTCTCTCTCTCTCTCTCTCTCTCTCTCTCTCTCTCTCTCTCTCTCTCTCTCTCTCTCTCTCTCTCTCTCTCTCTCTCTCTCTCTCTCTCTCTCTCTCTCTCTCTCTCTCTCTCTCTCTCTCTCTCTCTCTCTCTCTCTCTCTCTCTCTCTCTCTCTCTCTCTCTCTCTCTCTCTCTCTCTCTCTCTCTCTCTCTCTCTCTCTCTCTCTCTCTCTCTCTCTCTCTCTCTCTCTCTCTCTCTCTCTCTCTCTCTCTCTCTCTCTCTCTCTCTCTCTCTCTCTCTCTCTCTCTCTCTCTCTCTCTCTCTCTCTCTCTCTCTCTCTCTCTCTCTCTCTCTCTCTCTCTCTCTCTCTCTCTCTCTCTCTCTCTCTCTCTCTCTCTCTCTCTCTCTCTCTCTCTCTCTCTCTCTCTCTCTCTCTCTCTCTCTCTCTCTCTCTCTCTCTCTCTCTCTCTCTCTCTCTCTCTCTCTCTCTCTCTCTCTCTCTCTCTCTCTCTCTCTCTCTCTCTCTCTCTCTCATCATGTTTTCGCTTAACCTCGATTGGTAAAAAAAGGACAGTATATTTCCTCTTCATTTTAACATCTAACTTATTCACTTTGTCTATTACGTTATGAAGTAACTGGAATCTGAGGCTGCTTAAGTGGTCATCTCCCATTTTGATCGCTTTTTCCCAGTCTAGTTTGCATTTCCTCAAAGCACAGTCCCCCACCTAATGCCTTTTTCAATTAGTATTTAATTGGTTTCTACATGATGCTTGATGATCATAATTCCATTTCTGCATATATATTCCAGCATTCTACAAAATGCAAAAATGACATCTCGCTAACAAATTAACTTTTAATGCTACTGTTATACATAAAAGGTATGGGGGAAAATGGATATATTCACAGCGCAAGAGACGTATGTGACCGGCTTCGAATATATCTTCGTCAGAAATCATTCTCATTCAAACTTTTTCAACATTTGTCGCAACATTTAGACTCCTAATCAACGAATGCCATTCACAAAGTCTCCTGTTTTTTTTTTTTTTTTTTTTTTTTTTTTTGGGGGTGGGGGGCGAATGTGATCTGTTGTTGAGAATCACTACCGCAGCTTGACTATTCTGTGGGTTGATTAGAATATATATATATATATATATGTGTGTGTGTGGGTTTTAGATGCGACCAAGGATGAGTTTTGTGAGTAATGTGTAGATAACTGACAGCAGGATCGTTAGTCGGTAGTTTTTCTAGATCCTTTCATCTCCCTCTACATTTTCCACACTTTTAGAATTGTATCTCCCTCTATGATTTAGGGGAAAAGATTGGCTAGCTTTACTACCTTTATATCCCCTTGCATAAAGCCTATACTCGCAACTCTCCTGTTGCTTTCCCCGTTTCCATCCCGTTTAGTAGCTTCTTTACTTCCTATGCTGTCGTGTTCGGGATGTTTCTGATTATTACGTTTATTTCAGTCTCTAGTTGTTGCTTGGACTGTGTAAGTCATTATAATCCTCCTACTCCTTTGATCATTCAATTACGATCAGGTGGTTGCTTTGTTGAATACATCTGATTTCCCTTATTCCGGTTTTCCTTTTTGTTATTTTTTATACTGTTGCCTGATATTAGTGCTTCGTAAATTCATATGTGGAATTTATCCATTATTGTTTATAGTTTCTGTTAGTCCTGCTGATATTACTTCGTCCCAGACTACTTTTGCTTTCGTGTTGCTACGCTTTCCTGCATAAGATCTCTACTAACGAGTT